ATGAATATTAATGAAAATGTAGGAAAACTGAGGGAAGCCCCCGTGGTAGTTAAATGTGTGTGCCGACTTGGCTGGGCCTGGCTGAGTGGCTGGACAGCTGGTGGTAGTTATTCCCCATGATGAGACTGGCAATCAACTCCATGGTGGGATCTACCACAAGCAGCTGAGTAGCTGCCTGTGGGATGTGGTCTGCTTCCTGTATTTAAGGAGAAGTCTTGGGAATGGTGTCTAGCCTATAGCACGCTTGGACCCTGCATCTAGCTCCAGTGGGCTGGGAGCAGGAGGCAGAGCTAGACCCCAAAGTTGAGGGGCTTTCACCCAGCCTCTAGAGCCTGGCACCTTGTACTTGGACGTAAAGCCTCCAAATTATAAGAATAAACTCCTGTTTAAGCCATCCCATGTGTGGTATATTTCTTGTCAGAATGGCACTGGGTAACCAGAACAGGTATGCACTGTTTAAGGTCCATTCTGATATCCACAAATGTCTGTGGCCTTTTTCTTTTTTAAAAAGGAAAGCAGCTCTATTATTTTCCCCAAATAACTTTACAGACCCCAAACCCATACTCTCGCAGCAATGGACCACTGTGGGATACAGGCAGGTGAAGCAGAAGACAAGATCTTGGACATGGGACATGGCTTTGTCCAGCAGGCTGCAAGAGCCAGGCTGATCCCACTGCCGAGATAGCTGGAACACTTTGTCAAGTTAGGCACACTCCTCTCCCTCCACTCTTGCCACAACTAATGATGCCAGGTCCTCTGTAAGTAGCACCAATCGTGTTGGCACTGCCAACGGCAGCTGCAGCAGCACCAGCAAGGATGGCCGGAAGCGGATTTCCATAGGGTTTTAATGTGGTATTCACACAACATCCAAATCATGTAACACTTTCTATTTTATGGGGAAAAAATCTCCTGAAATAGCTAATCTTCATGTAGACTAGTCTATCTCGAATTTAATTTAAAGTCTGATAATCGATGGTCTTTATGCTTCAAATCATTAGCAGTAATGGACACATACATGTTCTCAAAGAATACATTCTGCTACCAATTAGGAGCTTTTGAAGTACATATGATTTTTACAGCACGAAACTACATAATCTATGACCTTAACACAGCTAGTACTCTTTCATCACAATTCTCTATTCACTTTTTCCACATCAGCACTGAGCTTCACTGTCTCTCCCTCTTTCAGTGTGATCCTCAGACTAGAAGCATCACCACTTGGGAACTTGTCAGAAATGCCATTACTTGTGCCCTTCCCCACACCTACTGCAGTAATCTGAGGGGCTCACCAATCTGTCTTTTAACAAATCCTCCAGGTGATTCTGATACAATCTAAAGTTTGAGAAGCACTACTACATAGACTCCCTCACCTACTTACATTAAAGAGTTCTTAACCTGGAATCTGTGAGCTCTTGAAGTCAAATGCAAATGTGTATTTCCTTGGGAAAGAAGTTTCACAGCCTTCAACACAAAGGGGTGCTAACCTAGAAAAAGTTAGGTATCACTGCTTTAATGTCATCAAATTCATGAGAATTCATTCTGCAAATATACAACAAGCCAAAATTTTCTCCAAGCCCTTTAATAATCACTTAAACAGCTGAGGCACAAGCAATAATAAAAACTGTACTTTTTTACAAGAAAATTTTGTATGATGTACCAATTTTCTCAAAATTTCTTCTGTAGTAACATTTTATTAACATTCCGGTCCATGGGCTGATTCAACAAAGTTACAAAGGCAGGCAAGCAAGAAGGTGGCAAAATACTGAACTTACTTAGGGATAAGAGGAATCAAATATTTACTGACTCCTGTTATGCACACTATATGAAGTTTTATACAGTTTACATAAGTTAGATGTGAATATAGATTCTGCATGTTATCTGTTAATAAAATAGCACAGCTCCCCTCAGGAAAGTCTATGCTTTAAATGTTCTTGCACCTTAAGTACAAATTACGGAAACAGAATAAATCTTTGCCCAAAAAAACATGTCAACATACACTAATACCTATTTTCCATTTCCAAAGGTTTTATACACATGTGCAACATCAGCACATGGGAACATTCAGCCTGTTTATTACTACTTCAAGTCTTGGGTTGTCACATGCCCACCTAGTTAGGACCATGTGGCCAGCATACTACCATCCCAGGTGATACTGCACTGTGAAACTTTAAGTAGGGAACAGATAGTGTTCAGCAACTATGTTTCTGAAGGGGTTAAAAACAGTCATTTTATTTTTTACCTAACACAGCTAGCTTTCAAAAGTGTTACCTTTAAAGCAACAAAGCTATCATTTAGATGTACTAGGCTTAATCAGCTTAGTGTTATCATTGCTTTTTCAAAACCATTAGATCAAAGCTAGTCTAATTTTTCAGAAAACCAAGTGAAACCCACCTTGTATTACACTATAGTTCTCAACAGCATATGTGAAGTCTTTCTACCCTCCCAAACTCTACGTTGACCTTTTACTCTTTCAACTGTTGTTATGTGCCGTTGAGTCGGACTCGGCTCATAGCGACCCCTCCTTGGGTTTCCAAGGCAGTATCACTATGGAAGTAGATTGCCCCCTCTTCCTTCCAAGGAGTGGCTGGTGGGTTTGAACTGCTGGTTAGCAGTCAAGTGCCTTAGGCACTATGCTACCAGAGCTCCTACTCTTTCAACTAGTCCTTAGTTTTTCTGAGCTCATTCTTTTCTTACCAAGCTTTCTGTCTACTGCTGTTCTCCCTCTCTTATCTATACCCAGACTGCTGCAAGACAAAAGACTGTTTCTTAGCTGCTTGGAGAACTACTGACCAAACATCAATACACTGATTTGATCTAACCATCGTGTTTGTACTGGTCATGACTCCCCAAAAAGCACACTGTTTAAGGGTTCAGAATCACAAACCTAGAAGGTACTGAGTAAGAAGTCTTAATGTTTGAGTCACCTAGCCTCATTTATAAATGAGAATAAAACAACAACAACAAAAAAAAAACCAATGCCACCGAGTTGTTCTGACTCACAGCGACTCCCGTTGCATTTCCAAGACTGCAAATCTTTATGGAAGTAGATCGCTTCATCTTCCTCCAGCGGAACAGCTGGTGAGTTTGGTCAGCAGCCAAATGCCTTACCCACTACACCACCAAAAACCAAGCTCACTGCTGTCGATTTGGATATAACTCAGCGACCCCTCCTTGGGTTTCTGAGGCAGTATCACTGACAGAAGTAGACTGCCCAATCTTCCTTCTGAGGCCTGGCTGGTGGGTTTGAACCGCCAGCCTACTATACCACCAGAGCTTCTTTAAGTGAGAATAGTAGAGGTAAATTCAGACATGTACCATGACTTGCTCAAGGCTGTACAGCTAATTAAGAGGCAGAACTTACAACTATATTAAAAACTTCTTTGACTATTACACAACCACCACAAAGAAATTCTAGGTTAAGAAAGTTTCTAAGTAAACTGAAATGAAGAGCCAAGTACATAGGAAAAATCTTTAGAGTCTCTTCACAGATTTTTAGACAGAATAAAGCCAATTTGTACAATGGGAAATGCTTAGTTCACCAGATGCCACTAAATGCGAAGGATCCTTAGCCTCAGTTCTGAAACCCAGTTGGTAACTGCAGGTAACTTGTCAACATTTGAAAATAACAGATCCCACTAGATTCATTGTTTTCAAGTCTTCAGTCACTAGGTTACACACCTTAGTTTTAGCATTCAAGAGAAATGAACCAAGCTGAAGTAGGATTAAGGAGGTACAATGAAGATAAAAGCAAAGGGGAACAAACTTTTGTTTTTCCCCCTCCCAAAGACAAGCAGATCATCTCAACTGCCTTAAAGGGTAAGCTTAAGATTAGTAAGAATACTGACAAAACCATATGATCTCGGTGAAAATCAACATGATAGTTGGGACCATTAAAAAAAGTTTAATTTATAAATACCAAGTCGGGCAAGCATGCAAAATGCAGAATATTTAAAAAAAAAAAAAAAAAAAGCAAGGCATACTGGTCCAAACAAACACACACCTCAGAAAGCAGACAAGAAGATACTGAACAGAACTGTGTAAATTAGGAGCTGAAAGGAGTATCTCGAGATCAGTGATCACTTCTGTCATTTCAGTAGATATGAGTTGGTGAAGCTCACACAGCTAGGTGAAAGTCTTTACATAGATACAATTCCCAGTGCTATTTGTAACTATATATATTTAAAATACTGGGAGCTAAATAACTAGAACATATTAAGCCTAATACTCGGGGTGAGACTGAGATTAATACAAGCACAACAGCACATCACACATATTTACATGTAAGAAATTAAATGGAAAAAATTATCTCAATTTTAATAAACACAATTAAGTTTTTATCCAAATTTCTAATGTGTAACAAAATGTACTAGCTTTCAAAATGTGTATTCTTCATCATCTACTTTTTTGCCTTCTCTTTCAAAACTGAACACTGAGTATTCTTAACATAGGTAAATGTCTTATGTACATTTTAATTTTATGCTTTAGAAATAAACAAAATTCATGGTATTTTGATAACTCATAGTGTATTTATAAAATGAAAAATTCTCTATCAAAATACACTTTTCACTGGGAAAAATAAATAAAACAAATGAATCTACACAAAATAAAAATTAACTTTGGCAGATTTCAGTGTAGTACACAGTCCGTCCATAAGAAGCTTATTTGCCCTTATTCCCCCAGATCAGCTCATCTTCCAAGTTAAGAATTTCAAAATATTTTTAATTGAAATTTTATTATTTTGGCATTTGTTTCTCATTCCACATCATCTTCAGCCAAGCTCTGAGCACTTACAATTCTCTGAAGGAAGAAGAAAAAAAAAAAAAAAGGGAAAATAATTTAATTTTTCATTTAATATTCAGGATTCTAAATTCAACATAAAACACTTTTTGTATTCAAAGAATCAAATCTGGCTAGTATTTACTGTAATGTCTTTTGCAAATAATATGCTCATGTAAATAATACATAGCACAGCATGCTTAGGAAAATAACATGGTGAGTGGGGGAGTTGCATGGTTGGCAGAAAACCTACAATACATGTGGTTATTTGTAAAAATATGATACCTATCCAAACCGTTATTTCAACATTTAACACTTTACTCACTGTTTTCATACAGGACATCTTTGATCACACTGCTCTCAGTTCTATTTCAAAATCCAAGTTAATAAAGGAGGTATAGCACTACATTATGCTACACTATTGAACAATTACATTAACTGAAACAAAAAAATTAAGATCTCTTTTCTTAAAAATAAAAGTAAACTGTTGACTGCTTTAATGACTATTCTATGCTCCAAATATTTTCCATTTTGTCCTAGAAATGCTCAAAAAGTCATTACATGAAAAAAGAATATATCTATTATATATTAATATTAGCATTTTGAAAACATTTCCAGATAATGAGACAAGTTAACTAGTAAAGGAAATCATTTTTAATGGAGAAGAATTCAGGTTTCATTCTGAACACACTCATATTTTAAAAAACATCACCCTTAGGTCAACATTCCACAAGCACTATGCTGTACTGCCTTTCAAACAGTATATTATATTAAACAGATGATTCTGATATAGACAGCTGAGAATCACACAGTCTAAACAAAAAGGCATTAAACCTAAGCCTTTAACTTTTTCCTCAAATCTTTGGGACAAATATTTTCTTTCCACTCCTACTCCAATCTAGTTGAGTAAAGATAGGCTTGAAGAATTAACATGCCAATTTTTAATTACTGAGTTCTATAAAACTTATACATTATCATCTTACTAATTTTCAATCACACATAACTGGGGAAATAAACATCAGAAATAGAGAACTTATTCCTAAAGGTAATTTGAGCTCCACAGAAAAGATTCAGAATGCATTTTAAAATTCTTAACTTATGAGTAAGTTTTATATTAACGGTTACTTTTCATTATTCAACAGGGACTTAAGGATGTAGTCTAACTAGCTCCATGCCTATCTCAACATCAGAGGAACTGAGCCTTTAGACAGTGAGGGTCAGAGAGAGCAATTAATCAATGACGCTAATTTCTAAGCTATGCCATCATGGCTTCTCTGTCCTCTGCCAGGCCACCTAACAGAATACACAGTGTACCAGAAAAGTAGGGAGAAAGCTAGTCTTAGAAAGCAGCTGAGAGTGGTCTGAAATTTCAGATGTAATGTTAATCTCAACACTAACATACATACTTCCTGATCTACCCCCAAGGCACAATTACTAGTCCTCATGCCCAGTCATTTGGATATTCTGCTATTAGAAAAGGAAATTTCAAGCATTTCATAGATTCTAGTTTTATTTTAAACATTTTAATTCCTTACCTGACTAATTGTTGGGAGCTTAGTCAGAAGCATCTGGAACACTGGTGGTGGAAGAGTTTGCTGTAACACTTGCAGTAACTGCTGTGGCTGCCCACACACAGCAATTGCATTTGTCAAATGGTCCACACCCTTCTCATATTCACCTGTAAGAGTCATATAAATTACATATAACTCAAAAAACCTTTCCCTTTGTCAAATATTCAACTCTGAAGTCTTCATATTATCTCCAAGTGATGCTAATGAAAAACAATACACAAGTAAAACTGGAAATAATCTACAGTAGTATATCCACGTAACTGAAAATACTATGCCACCATTAATGAGCCAGATTATATGCACTAATGGATACTGGAACATAAGAAGAGATAACTAAGGCGTAAAAGTGTCCAAGTACATTATCATTTATAGACTTAAGACTATTTCTTCAAGATTATGTAAGAAACTGCTAAAAATGGAATATATTTTTCTTTAAGAGAAAAGAACCAGAAGATGGGGACTGGGGTAGAAAGGAAAACCAATTACACTTTAAACAAACCTTCTGCACTATTTTAATGTTACCACATACGAGAAAAAATTTTTTTAGAAGTGATGCTAATAGGTATGTGACCAGCATAGTATTACCAAGGATAAGGAGGACTCAGAGGTGCGCAAGAGGGACAGACAACCAAGGTAAGTACTATCATATGTGCAATACTGCACTATCAGTAGTAACAAACACTAACCTATGAATGCACACATATGTCTGGCAGATGATATTCCCACAAACCTTTTTGTATGTGCTATAAAACGTCTATACACAGTATAGAGTGAAAAGATGACAAAGTTAGGATAACTTCTTAGCCACAACCAAGCACCTCGAGTGAGTAAGTCACTGGGCTTGCAGGTTTGGGATCATGGTAATGGGAGACATCAAATTCAATTGGCACAACGCAGTATACAAAAACAATGTTCTACATCCTACTTTGATGAGTAGCAACTGAGGGCTTAACAGTTTCAAGTAGCCATCTGAGAGGCAACTACTGGTCTCTCCTCCTCCAGAGCAAATTAGAATGATGAAAATCAAAGACATATGGAAACAATTAGGCCAAAGGATCAACAGACCACACGAACCTCAGCCCAAATGACCCTGAGACCAGAAGAACTAGATGATGCCCATCTACTAATGCCAACTACTCAGAAAAGGACCAAACTTGGGGATCCTCGACAGAGTGGAGGAAAAAATGTGGACCAAAATACAAAAACATAAAAAAGACTAGGATTACTGCCAGATAGACTGGTGAAATCCCTAAGACTATGGCCCCAAGTCACCCTTTGGGCCTAGAACTGTACTCACTCCCATGGTTCAACTCTCAGCCAAACAATAAACAGGCCTACGAGCTGAACAACTAAACCATGGAGATTCACTCAGAATGGTCACTCACGGGTGATCAGAAGGGCAGCATCTTCACAGGGAGAAAGCTAGGTAGGCAGGAACGCATAGGCAAGAAAGGGACACAGGGAGTGGGCTCAGGACCACAGTCACAGGGGACATCAAGCTCAATTGGCATTACATACTACACAAAACATTGTTCCACTTCCTACTCTGGCAAGTAGTGACTGGGATCTTAAAAGCCTGCAAGCAGCCATCTAGATGCAACAATGGGTCTCTCCTTGTACAGAGCAAAGAAGAATGAAGAAAACCAAAGATTCATGGAAAGAATTAGTCCTAATGACTAGTACATCATGCAATCCTCAGTCTATACGACTATGAGACCAGAAGAACTAGACGGTGCCTGGCTACCAATGTCAACCATTTGGAAGGGGATCTATGTAGGAGACGCTAGATAGAGAGGGAGAACAATGTGGAACAAAACTCAAAAGCATTTGGGGAAAAAAAAAGGGGGGGGGGATCAGGTTTGCTGGTCTGATTGAGCCTGGGGGAACCACTGAGACTATGGCCCCTAGCTGCTCTTCAGGTCTGGAACTGAACCCACACCTGTGGCTTCCAGCTAAGCAAAAGACAGGCACAGGAGTTGAACATTTACCTGAGGTAAATACACTCTTGGAGAGAACAATCATGGGAGAAAGAAGGGCTGTTTATGCACAGGGAGACAACTCAGGGGACAGGAGTATATGGAGGGATGGACACAGTGAAGAGGTGACTGTCAGGAGGCAGTGGGAGGGGAGTTGTTGCATTGTGAATTGTGGTCAATGTCATGAGACAAAGTGTATGTGAACTGCTGTATGGGAAGTGAATTTGCTTTGTAAATTTTCACCCAAATCACAATTTAAAAAAGAAAAAAAAAAGGACACGGGGAATGAGTAAAGATAGGGAGGAGGTGGAAGATCAGAACTATTACACTGTGGAGACTGCAATCAGTGTCATGAAACAAAATATGTATGAGATGCTGTATGTTAATCTGCTTGTAAAATTGCACCCAAATCACAATGAAAGTTTAAAAAAAAAGTGATGCTAATAGACATAATGGTGATACCAGTGTAAGTGGCAAGGAGGAAGCAGATTAACAAAACAGTAATTATCTGAGTGGTAATATTTGTTTACTTATCTACACACTTCTGGCCATAAACAAATGACTTGGGGAAAAAAAAATCACTTAAGGTTTAGTTTTGGACCATCACCATCATCACCAGTTGCTGGAATTAACTTCATTCCAACTCATGGTGCCCATGTGTGTAAAAGTAGAACTGTGCTCCATAAGATTTTCAATGGCTAATTAATTTTGGAAGGTTCATTTAATTCAATAAATATTAAGTATGTAGTTCTTGTCCTGTTACAATCCCTTTTAAATTTAGGTCCAATGAATTGTCCTAAATTATATATACAAATGAAATCTGTGTCATTAAATATGGCTTTAAATTAAGTGTTCTTCTGCAAACAATACAAACATTCTTTTAATATCACCTTTAAAAAAAAAAACAAACCCTCTACTGAATATTTTTTTAAAAAATGAAGAAACTGATTGGGAGACAATTCTCTACAGTGTCTCACATTTCTGTACTTCTCCCAAGCAGAGCCACTCACTGCCTTTTCCCCAGATTATCCTTTCAAGGATGTTTGTACAGTGAACAGCCATTGAATACTCTGTATCTCCCTCTGGAACAAGGGCATGCTAACCCACTGTCTAATATAATAAGATCTCCCTCTAGAACAAAGGGCAGGCATGCTTACTGCCTGCTATAAAAGATCCAGGTTATCCAAATTCAGGCTACTACCTCTCCTGTAATGCAAGCCACTACAGTTATAGCTATCATCCATGGGAATGGGGGCTTGAATAACCAGTACAAATGCTAATCCTCTGACTATTGCAATTGCTGTGGAGTAATAAAAGTAGCACCAAACTGAAGACTGACATGAAAATGAGGTCGACCTGTTCATACAAACCACTAGATAAAGTGTCCTTTGTCTCTGACGCGGGAAAATTGTGCTTTCTACTAGCATTTGTGAAATTGGCAGGCTAACTTGTTAGCATGACTGTGAGGTAAAATCTCAGACCTTTCACAGCTACTGATACTACTACTGTTGTTGTTGTTAGGTGCCATCAACTTGGCTTCAACTCATAGTGACCCTACATACAAAACAACAAAACACTGCGTGGTCCTGCGCCAGCCTCACAATTCTTTTTTTATTTTTTTTCCAGCCTCACAATTCTTGCTATGCTTGAGCACAACATTCCAGCCACTCTGTCAATCCACCTCGTTGAAGATCTTCCCCTTCTTCAATGACCTTCTACTTTACCAAGCATGATATTCTCCTTCAGAGAATGGTCTAACAACATGACCAAAGTAGGTGAGACAAAGTGTGGCCATTCTCACATCCAAGAAGCATTCCGGCTGCACTTCTTCCAGAACAGATGTTACTTCTTCTGGCAGTCCATGATATTCTCAGTGTTCTTTGCCAACAACACAATTCAAAGGCATCAACTCTTCTCCAGTCTTCCTTATTCATTGTCCAGATTTCACATGCATATGAAGTGATTAAAAATACCATGGTCGGGCCCACCTCAAAGTTTTCACAGTGACATCTTTGCTTCTCAACACTTTAAAGAGGTTTTTTGTAACAGATTTGCCTATTGCAATATGATGTCTGATTTCCCAACTGCTGCTTCCATGGGTATTGACTGGGGATGCATAAAATGAAATAGCTGAAAACTTCAATCTGTTCTCCATTTATCATGATGCTGCTTATTGGTCCACGAGGTATACTAAATTACACAGTATGGTTTTTCTAGCCATAGTCTTTGTAACTCCCACTTTGCATGAGCAACTGAGTAGCTGATTGTTAAAAGTTATCCAACTGGTGCGTTTCTGTTGGAGCAGAATGAAGCAATCTTCTAGGAAGTTCACTTTCTCTCAGGTGTGCAGAATTCTGATGCTGGGATTGCTTGGTTACGGCCACTCTTCCAGGCTCAAAAGGAGCCCTCCTAGAGGCAGAATGACTCTGTCGGCTGACAGAGACACGCTGCTGAGAGAGACTTGAGAGAGATGTGCTGGTGAGAAAGAGATGTAAGAGAAGCACTGCTGAGAGAGATATGTGCTACTGAGAGAAATGGCCAACTGAGAGAGACTGAGCATGTTCCTGAACTTGAATTGTAGCCTGTTGTTTCCCTAATAAATTCCATAATCTGTGAGTTCTGTGTGGCCACTGCAGCAAATTATCAAACCCAGTACCCAGTTCTGTGGTGGGTGCCACAGGAGGAATGGCTGGTGACAAGGTTAGTAAGAGAGTTGAAGGGTGGCGGCATCTCTGGCCTCATAAGAACAGGCCTGGAGCTGCTGATGGTGATTCTGTCTCTTATTGAGATAGAGGAGCTCAGAAGATGCCGCCTCCCTGCTCTTTTCACAGTTGATGTCAGAAGTGGTGGGATTCATTGCAGTGGCTCCAGACTCATAAAAGCATGGGACTTTGCTATAAAAAAAAAAGAAGAAGAAGGAGGAGGAAGGGCCTGGGAAGTGAAACTCTAGATTCTTAGATGGTTACTTTGGTTGGTGTTACCTACTAAAGGAAATAACTGATCCAGAGGCTAGGGCTTTCAGTTACACCCAAAGGCCCAAGACCATATACATAGAATGGGAAGATAATCAAGGTGAAGAGATAAGACTGGAATGTCTTAAAAAGGATTATGCATTTTGGATTATGTATTTA